CCTCTCACTGTTGTGGCCTCTCCCGTTGCGGAGCACAGGCTCCGGACGCACAGGCTCAGCGGCCATGGTTCACGGGCCCAGCCGCTCCGCGGCATGTGGGATCTTCCCGGACCGGCGCACGAACCCGTGTCCCCTGCAGCGGCAAGCGGACTCTCAACCACTGCGCCACCAGGGAAGCCCTGTATCTGTTTTTTGATAATTAGACTCAGGTTAATTGTTTTTGGCAGGAATACTACAACAGGTGATGTTCCAATGCCACCTTTTATAAATGTTTTTTATCCTTTTAAATGTGTGAAGCCAGGAGTCATTTAAAAATTTCTAATATTCTTATTTTCAAATATCCAGCAGGTCAGTTATTGATAAGTGACTCTTCAAGTCGTGCCGCAGGCTGTGGGCTGTTTGTACAGGTCACTCGATTTAAGGGCCGCCTACCTGGGAGCTTCTCATTCATCGATCAGTGGGATCCTGCAGTGAGTTTCTATTCTATGTCTCAACAAGAAATAGGCTTCAGGTTATTCATGTTCTATAAATGCCCTCTTGACAACTTTTGATCCTTTGCAGCCTCCTGAGGGACACTGAGTGGATCCGGGGTAGGAGATGTTGGCCACAAGGCATGAGCCAGCAATATTCTGAGGGTCCCGGGAATGGCGCCTCATTATGGGAGGACTTGATTAAGTTAAACTATCACAGCGCTCAGAGTTCCGACACGGTGAGCTCGGCAGTGTGCACCAGGGCAGATAAGCTACAGGGGGCTAAAAGCTTGGACTTGATGCCTCATACAATTTCAGATAAATCAAAATATGCTTCAGGACAAGGGAAAAAGTTCTTGAGACCCATTATTTCCGTTTCTGCTGAGGAAAAGACATGACTGAAGATACAAAGTAATGTTGCAATATGGCATGAAAGATTGTTCTTCTAAGATTTTATCTTTGGGTAAAATGGATGGTGCAGTAAAGCTTTCACGGCAAAGGATTTTGTCAGCTAAAAGCGAGAGTGAAAAACGCCAAATTACCGCAGTTTACCAGCATCCCCTGCTAGGGTCTCTTAGCAAGTAATCCCTGGGAATCCTTATCTGAGCTCATCTCAGAGAAGTGGCTTTTTCATAGCCCAGATTACAGTTCAATTTCTCAGAAGTGTTTTTTGCAGAGAAGATCTCAGTTTGAAACAAAATTGATGAAGTCCTCAAATGATACTAATAAAGAATAAAAATTATCACGGGCTCTTCTGTGTCAGTAATTTTTTCTACTTGTCTTTATTTAGAACTCTTTTTTTTTTTTCTGGTACGCGGGCCTCTCACTGTTGTGGCCTCTCCCGTTGCGCAGAGCACAGGCTCCGGAGGCGCAGGCTCAGCAGCCATGGCTCACGGGCCCAGCTGCTCCGCCACATGTGGGATCTTCCCGGACCGGGGCATGAACCCGTGTCCCCTGCATCGGCAGGCGGACTCTCAACCACTGCACCACCAGGGAAGCCCTATTTAGAACTCTTTGATGAGATATTTTCTAATCAAGAAAATAATCAAGGTGATAATCAAGGTTATTGGGATTTTATTTATTTTTTAGCCACTTAAAATATTTTAACAGATTATAGCTAAAAAGAACAATTTTTAAGTGATTCATATTTCTGTGGTACTAAAACTATAAAGTAAGTTTAAAGTACTAGAGTCCATGGATTTGATACCATATCTGTTTTAAACATTGTAATTGACTCTCTTTTATGAGTGATTTGTAAGATATTACCTATTAACTGTTGAGGATTACTTAGTGGCTTCTTTCTCTCTTATCACCCAACTAAATCCTACCTATTACTTTAGGAATCCAAGTGGAAGAATGGGCTCAGCTGTGTGACTTTAAGAATGCTATGTTGGGCTTCCCTGGTGGCGCAGTGGTCAAGAATATGCCTGTCAATGCAGGGGACACGGGTTTAAGCCCTGGTCTGGGAAGATCCCACATGCCACATCTCACGTGGAGCAACTAAGCCCGTGAGCCACAACTACTGAGCCCACGTGCCACAACTACTGAAGCCTGCGCGCCTAGAGCCTGGGATCTGCAACGAGAAGCCACCACAATAAGAAGCCTGCGCAAAACAACGAAGAGTAGCCCCTGCTTGCCGCAACTAGAGAAAGCCCCCGCGCAGCAACGAAGGCCCAATGCGGCCAAAAATAAATAATAAAATAAATAAATTTATATATATATATATATATGAATGCTATGTCACTTCTCTTAGCTTTAGTTCCATCACTTATAAAATGGGAGAAATTATGGTGCTTACTTTTTAGGATTACTGAGAGGACTGCATGAGAAAATGCACATTGCAAGCCTTCAATAAATAGTAGTTACTGTCTGTCATGGTCTAACCCAGAGCCCACCTTTTTCCATGAAAACATCTCCTGATCCCTCCAGCCCACAACTTAAGCATACACTAATGCTTTGGGTTATTTGTCTTAAATCGTGCCCCACCTATTTCACAGATGGCAGTGTGGTCTCCCAGGCAGACAACCAGCCTTGAGGGTTATTCATTGCACTCCACCAGGGCCCTGCTCCACCGTAACCACGGGGTAGCTCGGCAAGCTCTCGCAGTCCAATGATTCCCAGATGGGTTCTGGGTGGGCCGCATCAGACTTTCCCGCAGGAGCCAAGTCTGACTTAGTCCACACAGAAATGTCGCGTGGTGGGGTTTGCTGTTTATTTGGCTTTGGTGGAATCACAAGGCTCAGAACAGGTGCAGCCTCGCAGGTCTGAGAGAAGACAGGTGCACCGTGCTGGTCAGCTTGGGCATGAGCAGGGGGAGTGGTGTCCCGAGGGCCTCCCTCGCGAGGCAGAAATCTCGGGAGGGGCACTGGCCTTCCAGGCTGTGCAGTCGGGGTGCCCTTCAGGCACATCAGACCACGTGTGGGTCCTGGTCCTAGCTGCTGGCTCATCCGTGGGACTGGAAGGATCCAAGCCAGGGGCCGGGGGACGTCCCAGACCCGCCCCCGCGATCAAGGGGAAGTGCAGACTGCTGAGGCCATTAATGCGGAGAGGTCGCCTCCTGGAGCCGGAGTCACAAACACCATGTCAGTACAGCCAGGGTGGGGGGACGGTCACAGACGGCGGGAGGAAGGTGCTGCAGAGCTCGGCGGGCGGCCCCAGGGTCAAGTCTCGTGGTCCAGGGCCAGCAGAGTCATCCTATTCCATGTGACCTCTGCTGACGGGGCGTTCGCGCCACCGCACAGCCACCTTGGCGCGCCACATGGTCAAGAAGCGGCTGTAGCAGGCTCCGCGCGTGGCCGCGACTGCCCGGGGTGCCCAGGCCCTTGCTGCCCCGCCCACACCGGGCCCGGCCTAGGCCACGCCCCTCCAAGGCCCCGCCCCACCAAGACTCCTCCCCGCCAGGACCCCGCCCCGCCAAGGCCCCGCCCCCGAGGCGGCCGGAGGGGGGCGGGCCGCGCCCCCACGTGCTCCTACGTAGGGACGTCCCGCCGAGCGGGCAGAACGCTGGCAGAGCACCTACCTGCAGGCGCCTCTCGCGGCGGGCGGCGGCAGGCATGGCTACGGCGGCGGCGGCGGCGGCGGCTCGTGGGGCTGGTGCAAGGGCGGTGGTGGCCCTGCGGAGCGGCTGCCGGACTGCGGCTCGGGGGCGGTCGCGCGCGGGCCCCGCACGGTCCTTATGCACAGCACCTGGGACCGCCCCGGACATGAAGCGCTACCTTTGGGAGCGCTACCGGGAGGCGAAGAGGAGCACGGCAGGTGAGTGAGGCTGCGCCCTCTCGCACCCTCGGTACGTGGGGAGGCCCCTCCCCGCCGGGCTGGGGCGCCAGGTCCCGTCCCATATGGCCATCGGGGAAGCCGGCACCCTCGGACCCGCGTGGGTCCGCTGCTGACCTCCAGAGCCCCCCCATCGTGACCCGCGGTTGTCCCCAACCACGGGCGACATCGCCTCTGCAGTGCGATTTCCGGGAAACGCGGAGAAATGCGCCTCCAGAAACTTTACAACTCTTGCCTTTCTCCTGTCGGGAAAGCCGTTTTATAAATTCCTGGGATTTTTAGCCAGAAATCTGCATCGGAAGCGCTTTGGGCTCTCCTGGGGGTTCCACGGACGTCACTTGGGAGACGGTCACCCCCAGGCACCGTTCGGTATTGTTATTAATAAACAACAATAATAGTAACCGCCGGAGTCCGGCAGGCGGCGGGTTACCGTGGATTCCGCTGCTGGGCAGGTGGCAGTGTCCGGAGGCTGATTTATTTTCCTTCTTTGTTTTAGGGGATGGGGTAGGATTTGCTGCTCTTGAAATTGGAGGGGTTCGGTTGGGAGTGTTCTGAGTTATCTACTAACCTCAGCGAGGAGGTGATTCCAGGGAGTGACCACTTAGTGGTCAGATGAACATAAAATGAGCTTGGTTTGATTGTTGGTTAGGGAAACAGGGAGGGACGCAAAGAGGACCCAGTAAATACTAATGTCAGACACATAAATTGTCTCCCTGAATTCTTCCCCATACCTAGGAAGGAAGTGCCACATGCCCATCTTAGAGATGAGACAGGCCAGACTCAAGTTTAAGAAGCCTGGCCAAGGTCACACTTTGACCTCGGGTCTGTCTCAGCCCCTAACCCATTGTCCTGTTTCCTGCACTGCCTTGTAGTAGCAGCTGACCGTTTGGGAACTGGTGTAAAGGGCCAGTGATAGTCCATTGGTGCTGCTTTTTTCAGGGAAGATTTAGAATAGAAATTTTTATACTGATATATTTTTTGGGGGTGGTGGTGGTAGAGGTGGCGTGGAGAGATAGGGAGAGAATATTTGGTGGAGAGAACATTTGGTAGAATCACATTTTACAGACAAGGTTTGCTGCTGCAGGTTGTGAGACTCTGGGAACATCACAGAGCTCCAGTTTACTCATCTGTAAAATGGGAATGGATGCTGGTGATACCAACATCATAGGGTTGTGGCGAGGAATGAGCGAGTCCATCCATGAAAGGTGTTTAGAACAGTGCCTGGCAAAGGAGACAGTTGAAGGGTTGGGTGATAAAGATCAGCTTCAGGCCAGAGTTGGCCTTTGGTGTGGGATAATCCCAGGGGGATTTTGGAGAAGGACAGCTTGAGGGAGATTTTGAGATTTGTTAGCTCTGACTTTGGTGGCAAGTTACTCTTCTCTGACCTGAGTTTTCCAACTGTAATGTGGGAATAAAGTGAGGATTTTTAGCGTGGGCTCAGCATCCAGCAGATGCTCAGGAGATAGTAGCTATTGCGGCTGGTTATTAAATAAAGACACGCTTAGTAACGGTGGAGGTGAGTTGGTTAGCACTAGGGTCTAGGTCTCCTTTAGCTTGGGGCAGTGCCACATGTGGTGCTGAACAAGCCACCTAATCTCTTTAGTCTTCTTTCTGTAGAGTGAAGCCACTGAACTAAATAATATGTGAGCCTTTTCAAGTGTTACAGGTCTGGGAATCAGTATGCCGGGGTGCCCCATCCTGTCTCCACGCCCCCAGCACATGCCCACGTAGTCCCTGTTTCACCCCTGAGAACTCAGGGACTTTTTTCCTTCACCCTCTCTGGGGCTGCACCACCCCTACCCTCCTTTAGCTGAAGTCTGTACACATGCCCAACTTGCATTCATTCACCAAGCATTTATTAAGCACGTACCAGTGGGCTTAAAAGCTGTTGATTCACAGATGGACGCATGTGAGAGGGAGGGGCCCACAGTGGCTGAGCGCCTGCCCGGGCCAAGCAAGAGAGGCCCGAGTTGCACGGATGGGGAGGCTGGTAAACAGATAAGTGACAGTCCAGCTTGGGGAAGATAAATAACGGTCCCAGGGGATGCAGGAAATGCTTGACACTGCGTTCGTAGGAGTGAGGGCTCAGAAGTACTGATGCTCATAAAAAAAAATATACAGGTTTTTTCGGTTTACTAGAGGCCAAAAGAATCTTGTTTTCTCCCTTCCTGATTATTGCTTTCTGGTGTTTGATCTCTTGCCTTAATCTAAACAATCCCTTCAGGTGTCTTCTCTTTGAAGAGGTTCCCAGAATGAAGCCTGCTCAGGAAAGAGATGATTTTTACTCTTTGTTTTACCCTTTCTCTCCCACCCTCTTTTTATGTTTATTTTTCAAAATTTAAAAAAATTTTTTTAAATAAACTGTATTTTTTAGATCAGTTTTAGATTTACAGGAAAATTGCATGTTTCTCTAAACCCCATATGCAGTTTTTCCTCTCTCATGACTATGGGACTGTGATATTGAGATTTATAATCAGAAATACTGCAGAGAGCTCCTAAAACCCTTGGAATTTCCTCAGTACAGTACAGAGATGATAAAGGTGTCTTTTGTTATTTTAATTAGGTGACTCTCAGAATACCGCAGGGCAACCACAGGGTGGGGCCTGGGTGCCGGGGAACCCAGCCCTGTGCTTAGAGAGTTGGCACTTTGTGTCTTCTGACCCGCACCCCTCGGGGAGGGGAGAGGGGCTGGAGATTGAATCGATTGCCGATGGCCAATGATTTAGTCTTTCCCTGTGTAATGAAGATTCCTTAAATGCCTCCATAAAAACCCAGAAGGATGGGGTTCTGAGGGCTTCTGTGTTGGTGAACACGTGGAGATTGATTTGGGGAGCGTGGTACACCCAGAGAGAGCATGGAAATTCCTTGCCCTGTCCATGTACTGTGCCCTCTGCATCTCTTCCATCTGGCTCTTCCTGAGTTGTATCCTTTTATAGTAAACCAGTGATCTAGAAAGTAAAATGTTTCCCCGAGTTCTGTGAGCCACTCTAGTAAATTAATTGACCCCGTGGAGGGGGGTCAGTGGAACCTCCAGTCTGTAGCTGGTCTGTCAGAGGCACAGGTGACCAGCTGGACTTGGAACTGAAGTTGGGCAGGGGGCAGCCTTGTGGGACTGAGCCTGTAGCCTGTAGGATCTGATGTTCTCCCCAGGAGGTGTCAGAAGTGAGTTGTGTTGTAGGACACCCTGCTG